TGACAAGACCAAGGAAATGCCAACCGAAACGAAAATGAAAGTTAAAAAAAAAATAGCATTACACTTAAACCCGCTCCCTCCAAACTCTCACCCTCCTCACCCGCCTCGCTAACCACATAACCTAGCCCCGTCAACCACAACCACAACACCAGCCATTCCACACTAAATAAAACCATCATCACAATCAGCACTCCAAGCTAGCTAGATCCTTGTATGTGCAACATGTCTCTTAAACTTAACAGCCACCAAGGGAGTGAGCGTAAGGGTGAGAGTGTTGTTTACACTAACAGCATCAGGCTACTAAGCGAGCAAGCCCCTTTCCCCACTTTCCCCCCTATCTTACCGGAGGTAGTGGCTCTTGACTTCAGTTCATCGACATTGACAAACGGATTCGAACTTTGAACGTGGGTATTCGAAATTGGAAAAAAAAGAACGATAATCTGATCTGGATCCTCTGAAGTCGCAGAGCAGAGGCTGGCTGTATCTACTGTGTAGAACATGTCATCGAGGCGGCGGTATCCACACATGAATTGCATCCTGTTGATGCTCCTTGGGCGAGCTCCCGTGGAAATTGGGGAAGTCTTAGTCATCTAAAGGGGCAGTATGATTTACAGCCAACCTCTTCACAGGCTGATGATATTTTTGGGGAAGTAAGGGAAAGAGTGAAGTCAGCTCATATCAAGATAGCCATTCTACTTGTCTTATTGCTTATATTATACATTTGATGCCGTGTCCCTTTCCTTCCTATGCATTCCGATCCCCAGCCCAAGTCTAATGTCGTTGATGTTGAAATTGATATTCTTGTGAATTCATTGTCGTACTTTCTAAATTGTGTTTTTGCTCTGCCGAATTTGCATCGTTGCTCATGGCTCGGTTGCATTCTTGTTCCTTCTCAAGCTTCCAAATCGTCGCTTCAATCCCTCACCGATACGTCGTCCTGTGGTGTTGGATCTTCGCATTTCATTCGCCCCGTCAACGTCCAGGAAAGCACCGGCCGATGGTCTACTGGGTCCTCTGAAATCCTCGTGGTTTCCGCTGACACTTCGCTGGCGACCGGTTGCAGGCCGTTGTGGTTGCATCTCATAAGACCGACTATCGGGTGACAGACCATTTCGGGCAGTTTCTTTCTTGTGGTCTTTCAACGCCTTCTCAATTGAGTAAGATGGCTCTCCTTTTCCTTTAAGATCTTCAGGGAGATATTTCTGCCAAGTGTTAGCTGTGATTCGTCCATGTGTAGAGTAATACATACAACATGATCCCATCTCTTGTACGCACCACCTGCTGCGTCTGGCTCGCGCATCAGATCAGCACCCTCCTCGTAGTCCATCCTCCTGCCAGAGAAGTCTTCGAACCCTGGGGGAATAACAGACGTTCCTTGCAGAGGTACATGTTTGGTCAGAGAGTCTTTGATGTATTCCTTCGGCGTAGCTTTGATAGCCTCTTCATTGGAACTTTTGACGGCATCGACAGGAGAGTATTTGACGTTTGTGTTCCGGGATATCAGCGTTGCGTCATATGGGCCTTCGTGATGGTATAGTCCTCCAAGCATAGATTTGTCAAGCATGTCAATACTATCAGCTCCGGGAATATGCTTCTTCCTCAGATGTGGTGACCGATTTGCCGCCTTCGTCTCCTTACGCAATTGATCAAGTGGTCGGTGAGACATGTCTCCTGGGAATCTTTCGCCCAGAGAACCTAAGATACGTTAGACGGAATTCAGTAAGACTCGCAGTAAGATCTAATCACTCACTTCCTCTTCTTCGTCCGTGTCCGCTAGTTGATTGCTCTCCAGACGTCTTCCGGCTGCTCGGTCCGGCTTCGTTCAGTTCCCCAAAAGCTAGCTGCCTGTGGGATGGGGAATACGGATTCGATGGATGGAATGAGGATCTCGTCGGGCTTGCGGATGTTGGCGGGGTTGGGTATGTTGTTACGGAGGGCTGCTTTGAAGATTTACCAAAGGCAGGGGATTTCGAAGTAGAGCTGGATCTGTTTACGGAGGATCTGAAGTGCGTCCCGGGGCCAGTTTCCTCGCTGGGCTCTGGGGCATTTAAAGGATCGAGCAGGTATTTGGTGGCCTGGCAAATGGTTAGTAAAACTTGGCAGATTGACGTTGATCGCTGGTGCTAGCAGATATCAAGCTGGAATGCCTGCCTGCCTGCCCGCCCGCATTTATCCCAACTCACCCAATGCTTGTCTTCGTGTGACTCCATATCGGCAGTAGTATGATGATGCTCGATTGACGAGTGGTATTGTCTCTCTGGGTATGGACTGTGAGTACTGCGAGTATATCTGGGACGGTTGTTGTCGTGAGAAGATGAGAAGACAGAGGGGAGAAATGGAGCTTATCTATTTGACCTTCCCTACCTAACCATAGGTTGGTTACTTAACAGCTCACCTCGACCATCTCACCTGCCGGAAAAATACGTGCAGTGAGTGCAGTGCAGTGGACTGCTTTGCTGTGCCTGGGTGCGTACGAATCGGGCAGGGGTCTCCCACTCGGCGCGGCTACGTCATTCGCTGGCTGGCGGGACCCCTGCAGCTTCCAGACCAAAAGGAAGCGGATGCGCGGAGGAGAGTGCGAAGAGAGCAGTTATGGCTTGCTGATTGGCCCAAAGTATTTACTTGAATAGCGCCAAATGCGATATCATTGGCTGACTAACAGAAAGCTCCTGGCATGGTCCCAACACAGCTTCATCTGGCTCCTGTCGCGACCCACTGCTGACGTTGAACGTTCGTCTTAAGGTTAAGACGACTTTCACAAGCCCGATCCGGCGAAGAGACGAACGGAATATTGCCAAGGCGCTTGAAATGTAAGCGAAACTGAAAGTTCCAAGGACCGCGTTTGTCCCGAGAATCAACCAATGTCAAGGACCTTGACCTTGACCTCGACCTCGACCTCGACATTTCCGTTCCTGAAGCTATTTTATCATCACGAGACTAACTAAGCCTCTTAAGCTCCACCTTACCTAGATATTGCGACCCAGCACTGGCACGGAAAAGTTAACAACACCGGCTAGATCATGGCTCTTGTCGACTACCCTTCCTCTGATGAAGAGGACAACAAAGTCACCCCCAAGAACAGCAAGGACATCACCAGCCTCAAACGCAAGCGTGATGGTTCACCAGACCTACCTCCACTACCCTCCAAGTTCCACGACCTCTACGCCTCAACAACCAGAGTGAGCGTAAGAGATGACCCGAGCTTGCACGAAGGAAGAAAGAGAGTTATTCCCCATATCGAAGGCAACTGGCCAACCCACATCTATATCGAGTGTAAGTTCCTCTTCCCCATTCCTCGAAATATAAATACTTGGCTGACTCGATCGAGGGTATCCGTCGACAACAGAAGATGCTTCGTTATCAAAGCTCATTTCAGCCTTGCAAAAAGACATCTCATTCGACTCAAACTCGAAAGTCCACTCCTCTGTGACGAGTGACGTGGGAGTTCCTCTACCGCTCCATGTCAGTCTGTCTCGGTCTCTTGGATTCCTAGCAGCCCAGAAGGACGACTTTGTTGACTCCCTGGACCGAGTTTTGAAAGTGTCTGGAATTCGACCGTAAGTGCTCCCTCTACTCTATGTTGATCACGCCGCTGACTGTAAAGTTTTGACATTACTTTCACTGGCCTCAAATGGGTTGCCAACTTTGAGAAAACCCGTTGGTTCCTCGTTCTGAGCATCCCCAAACCTGAGTCCGATGGACTGAACAAGATTCTCTTCGTCTGCAATTCAATTGTCAAGCAGTACGGCCAACCGCCACTTTACCCCAAACCGCCGACCGGACCGTCAATCTACGCCCGCAAAAAACAACAAAGGCGACAGTCGCAGGAGAACAGAGAAACTCCTTCCGACAAAAGTCACACTAACCTGGACTGGTCAGAAATTCAAGATGCTACTGATGCCTTCCACATTAGTCTCGCGTGGACCCTTCAAGATCCAAGCCAGGAGCTCCTTGAATTGACCGAGTCTGTTGCCAAGGATCACCTCAACAGACTTCAAAATATTGAAGTCAGTGTCAAGGAAATCAAATGCAAAGTGGGAAATGTTGTCACAAGCATATCCCTTCGAACCAACCCATTTGAGGACGGATGATACCAGCCATGCCACAAAACTCTGTGAATGAAGGAGGCTCAGTACAGAGGAACACCACCTCTTTGACTCGGGGATCTGCAGTCTCTATATCACAACATAGGACAAGCCAACACTACCTCGCAGCTGCTAGCGAAACGTTCAACCACAAAGTTAGGAACGCTATGATGCAACAGAAACAATGCATATCACGCCTCCCACGGCGAACGAGGCAAAATGGTATATCAGAGCATGTACAGCACTGGCTAAAGTCAAGGGGAAATCCTGAGTACCATGGTTCCAAAGCTATCCACATCATTCACCTAATTTGAGAAATCTAATACCAAACTACTTCAAGCATCTCAGGCCCTTGACTGCTTAACATGTATCACTTGTCCTCGACCTCCCATGAGGGTGATGCCTCTGCTTCCCACATTGCCTTGTTATTTATCGAATTATTAATGGAATCGTATCAAAGTGGCGGTACAAAGCGATGCTTGGCCTTTCTATCGTTGAAATTAAGGATCTGGTCCATCAGATACATTATGAGTATTGTTCTGCCTAAGCGCTTGAAGTCATCTTCAATTCTAAACCCGCCATATGCCCAGGAACATACCTATATCTCCTGCCAATTTATTTAAGCTAATAACCATTTATCCTATTTTCTCATTCGCCGAAAATGTCCTTTTGTCAACGACCAGTGTACGTGCCATTCGCTAGGGAAGTAAAGTACAAACAACCTGAAAGCGCAAGCCTGCTTGCTTATATAATACAAAAACACAAGTGAGTTGACTGGAATGCCGGAAGAATATCGGGTCTTTACAGAATTTCGCTTGTTTGTCCACACACAACACACTAAAATATCTAACTCACATAATTATTGAGATACGCTACTTTTAGTCATCATTGGTGTTAGGAAGCATCATGATTCTTGCCCCCTTGGCACAGTGGTAATGCGTTTCACTCGTAAAAGATGAAAATGAAAAGATCCTCGGTTCGATTCCGAGAGGGGGCATTATGTTCGGTTTACCAATTATCTTTTGGGGATTGTTTTTTCCCTCCTTTTTTTGGATCCTGCTGGTGAAAGATTGGGAGGTAGGTACCTACCTAGGTAGTAAGGCGATCTAGAGGTATCTACCGGCTTTAAAAGAAAAAATTGAGATGCTGAATGAGTCTCTGATAATATATCTACGTAGCTAAGAGGTTTTTTTGTACTTATGCTTGGGACCTTGTATGTCCAGCCAGGTGTACATCAGTTGCTTTTGTTTTTTTCGAAAGTAACCTCGCAACATCTATTAATTTTGACGTTTTCTGAATTTGGGCCAAGAATAAATAGGTTTTTACACTCTCGCCTACTCGATACTTGGGTTATGTGTTTTCCTTAGTTGCTTGCCTTGGGCCGCAAAATCCGGTCTATATAGATCGCAGATCCATCCATTGCACACATCCATCTATCCTGTTGCTCCAGAAGAGTTTCTAAAATAACTTTCCATGGATTGCTATAGGAAATTAGTAAAGGCTGTAAACAGGATATCAACCTCCGAACCGTTATTATGATATATTTTTACTATCTTCTATTTCTGCGAGGGTTTGCTTCTGTTTAAAGAGCTGGAGGACTTTTGCATTCGCAAACGAGCATCACAGGGCCATAAATCTCGCAACAAAAGTATTGGAAGAATTGGAACCTCTTCAGAACGAAATATGCTAGCACAGAGACATCGATATGAACTACAGGAAGATCGCCCAATCTATAAGTTGAAGTATGAATATGATCTCGAAAATTGAAAAAGGGATTTTTGTCAACTTATTTCCTGTTTGAGAAACTGCACTGCACTGGGTTGGATTGGTGTCGACGGGTTATCTGATACGCATGGGGAATTCCATAGAGAATTAACTGGGTTACCTTTTGCACCTGTGGGGGTCGATGGGCAGGTGAGGTCAAGAATCAAGAAGTCCTCCGAACCAGAGATTGCTGGAACTAATCAGCCTCCTGGGTATATTGAGATTCACTAGTACGATTTACGGAAAGTAGAAAACGGAATAAATTATGGATTTCGTTTCAATTATCGAGTGAGAAAGGGCGATCTCTGGTGGACATTCAACCTCTTAGGGTACTAGATTGCTGATATTGAGATACACGTCATAGGGCTCATTTGAAAGTGAAACACCAATGAATTAAGTAGCTGGGCATCAAAAGAGCAAGGATGGACACAATGAAGTCATTGCAATCTTCATTTTGTATGTGATCAAGTGAAATACCCGATAACGCAATGCAAACCCCTCGTCAAATCAAATCTACAACTCCCAACGCTCATGCTTATGCAGTCCAAACAAAAAAACGCCAAATTTATGTAATGCCAAAGTTTTCAAAGCTCATCTACTGTAGGACGTTTAAGCTTCCATGTTCTCGGACGTATTGGTAGACCAATGTAGTTATTCCAGGCCCTTGAAGCTTCTAGAACGAAGATCTCCCAGCTGGATATCCATTAGCCAAATACTCAAGAGAGATCGGTCGGAAACTTACGCTCGAGATGGGAAATTGATCCAGCTCTTGACTACGAATTTGGACACTCTCCATATGAGATCTAATTCGGCGTAGAAGATCTCCGAAACTGTGGCGTTGTTTGGAAGTCTCTGACGCTGGAACGATTCTTTCTCATGAGCCACGTAGTCGGTCTCCGTTGGATCTTTGTACTCTTTTCCAGGCACAACATGGTGAGGCCTTGTGGCTCGGTCGGAGAAGGCGGTTTTCTCTTCTGCTTTGGACTCTTCTGCTTCAACCATTCCTCTGAACTTGCCGACGGCCTCAAGCGAGTCGGAGATGCGAGCAAGTGTGTTGAAGAGAGCAACAAGTTCTGTTCTTTTCAACATAGGGATGTCGTCAGAGTTGTTGTCAAACTCAAATAGCACCTTCAGCGCTGCTCCGTAGCCAGCAGTTTGCAGTTTCCCCCAAAGACGGCATTTGTCACAACCGACACAGTCCATGATTCGGCTGACGTTTCTGAATCGGTTACGGAAATCCTCTTTCAAGCTTGGTCCTTCGCCGTTGACAAACATGAGACTTTCGTCAAAGATTTGTGGTGCTGTACCGGCTTTGGAGGTAAGAGCCTGTACTTTGGCCTTGGTGGCACGGTCTTGAACAGGGTCGCCTGAGCAGAAAGTGTAGTCTTTCAAGTATGGTCCGAGTTTGGTGACTGCTCGGAGGACAAGAGCATAGTTGAAGTAGAGATTGGAGACTCTGTCTGGGAAACCATGCAACCTATCTTTGTAGCATTGTAAATTTGGTCCCCATGCCCCGGTTGTCTGATTGAGGTATTCCCAGCAGAGATGGGCACTGATGGAAGTATGCATGCCAGAAACAACTCTGTAGAAAACCCGCTTCTCCAAGCACTGGTCTTCATGCTCAAGCCCAGACTCTGTAACGAAAGGTGTGTTTGGTGTATGCTTTTGGTGCTCCTCAAGAGCTTGCTGCAATCCACGTTCCCGCATAACGGATTGCAACTCGCTGATTGCAGGTCCCTTCTCGGGGAATGGAGAACTGCCTAGAGCTGCCGACTTGGGGAATGATGATTTTGAAAAGCAATTCTCCCTGTAAATGGCATCCCACACCTGCTTCGTGCCCTCTCCCGCGTATCCCGTGAACCTCTCTGGGTTGTCTACCAAGCTCACATAGTCTCCTTTCGATCCAGCGCTTTCGTCCTCCGGAACACAATAGTCTCGCTCATCGCATTCGTCGTCATATTCCACAACACAGCTCTCTCCAACATCCTCGCCCAACATGCCCTGAAGTGGTTTCTGCGGCCCTCTTTCCTCCTGTAACCTCCTTCCGGGATGCCCGGCTTTGGGACCCTCCAGCTTGCCCAATTCCTGCGCCCTCCATATTTCCGGGATGTCCTCTTCGTTGTCCAAGGTGTTCACGGCGCACGCAATATTCCCACACATGCCACTGTCATCACTCCAGAATGGACATTCCTTGCCAAATAGATTGAGCCGGTAGTATGCGAAGAAGTCGGTCGTTTGCGTAATGTCATTGAGCGACGGCTTGAGTTCCTGGTTGAGGGTATCGAGGGTAGAGTAGGAAGCGCATGCATCTGAGACAATTGCTTTGGGGGAAATCTGAGTGAGGCCATTAGACAAGTATGCCTGATAGAAGAATAAAAGAGCGTACCGCGCAAACATCAGGACTGGGTGTTTTGGCCTTCGATGCTATCTTGGAGTCTGCGGCGGCGTGCGAGGTCCCAAGTAGAGAGAAGATAGCTAGATAAAAGACCTGCGCAGCAGTCTTCATGATTGATTGTCACAAGACACTTGGCCTTTATCCCACGTTGTTTTAGCCAGTGAACTCAAATAGATGGCTGAATAGGTGGAACGTGAAGCCGTGGTGGGGTAGTCGATATGGTCTTGGAGGTTGTTGACAAAGAATCGCTGGCTATTGAAACTTCAACTCGTGCATTGGCCGTTCAAAAGAATTTACAAGAAATATCGAATTGATTGCAATTCTATCAAGTGAGCAAGGCCGAGGAATGCGCGAGTAATGGCGGGCGAGGTGCCATAAGTAGAGCGTTGATTGTAAAGCAAGTCTGGTTTCGGTATATCTGTCTGTTCGGCTTGTGGTTCGATTACAATTCCCATCAGCCTACTCCTCCGTACCACTAGCAGATCAGGGAACACTTATGCTGACGCCACTCTTGGCAGCATCCAGCCAGCCGTCCCGTTCCTGTTCCTGAGCTGGACCAAATTAGAATTCTCGCTTTGTTCATGTAATAATCTGGTGTTCTTGCTCCTAAATCGCACGGTATAAAATTGCCACCATCCTGGCTATTTGCCGCCTCAAGACACGAACATTTTTGTATCACACCTCTCATCGGTCAAAATTTACTAGGATATGAATCTTAATTCCAACCACTTGGCAGTCCACAGTTCTTTAAACTGCAATATGGGGACAAAATCTCGAACTCTATCTAAATTACATTTCCTTACTCGCGATTGGGAAAGCTCAAGATACCTATGCAATACAACAGAACGACTCAGTACCCCATGTTAGACTATCCACCCAATCGTCTACAATTTACTACATCCTGTGTATTTTTTTTTTAACTCCCACAGGTCCACAAATTCCATTTGAGCTTCAAAAAATCCGACCTCGCGGTTAATAACAATGCCTTCGACTCCCCACATTTAGGTATTTGAGCGACCCACAAGATCAGAAGCAAAAGAGTTACGACAAACGCATGGTATGGCCAAATTTTGGTCATTCATATTTTCTTTATCCACGAAGACTGCCCTATTCGATATCATACATTCAGTCTGCCCATCCACCAACCAGACGGACCGAAAGGAAGCCGAAAAAATTATAAAGAAGAGAATGTCCATTCGCCCTAATCTAGTACATCGAAGAGAAAGGCATGAGGTGTGGTGTATCAAGAGAGACATGAGACGTAACATCGTCAAAAGCATAGGTACGCCAGTGTTTGCAAAGTCTTGCGCTCCAGAAAAAAGCCACCAAATTCAAATCGAGTCGTGAGTTACCGGAAGCTATTTTATCTCTATTGGCCTGGAGGGACATAATTGATTGGTCTCCTGTTCTCAAATCAGTACGAGGGGTTTTGCTTGCGGATTTTGGGTTCCTACTTGAAGAGAAGTATGTGTGGCTCGGGCTCGTGAACTTCGTAGTGCTCCCATCCAAGACTCTGCAGAGAGTCAGTATAATAATGTACCCCACTTGTCGTACGCCTAACACACCTGTGTAATACCCAATGCTCTCCACTCCTCCTCCCACAACAACTTCAATGTACCCTTCGAGGAATCGTGATACTCCTTTGGAATGACCTTTAGCATGTTCTTGGGGAGCTGGACATGTCGGTACTCGAATTCATTGTCAGAGTATCTGGATTGGTAAGTCAGTTTCGCATCCAAGAATGACCACCGCAATTCAGCTGAAGAGTTTCCAAGACGGTTGAAGGGCTATCCTTTCTAGCACTGTAATTCAATCCAGAGGCATGCCCCAACAACCCC